AAAAAAAAAAAAAAAAAAAGACGACACAAAGAAATGGAGGATATTCCCCTCCCCCACCAGAGGATTGGAAGAATTAACACCAGAATGGCCATTCTACTGAAAGCAAATTTACAGATTCAATGCTATTCCAATAAAAATTTCAATGACATTCTTCAAAAAGAATAAATACTGATGGAATTCATATGGAACCAACAAAAAAAACCTTGAATATCCAAAGCTCTCCTGACAAAAAAGAAGACTCCAAGACTTCAAATGATACTACAAAGCCATACAATGAAAACTGTAAATACTCCAACAAAAACAGATACATGGACCAATGGAATCAAATAGAAAACCTAGAAATAAACCCACATTATGGACAACTAATATTTGACCAGTGTGCAAGCAATATAAAATGGAACAAGAGCAGTTTGTTCAATAAATGGTGCTGGGCAAACTGGACTGCTACATGCAAAAAAAACTGAAGCTAGGCTACTACCTCGCACCATGCACAAAAAAACAACTCAAAGGGATGAAAGACTTGGACAAAAGACGTGAAACCATAAAACATATATAGAAGAAAATATAGGCAAAACATTACATGACCTACACCTCAGAAACATCTTTAAAGGCACATTCCCCAAAACAAAGAATGTGAAGGAAATGATGAACAGCTGGGACTACATCAAAGTAAAAAGCTTTTGTACAGCAAAAGAGACATTAAGCAGAACTAAGAGACCTCCTACTGATTGGGGAAAATATTTTGCACACAATATTACTGATAAGGGAATAACTACAAAGATCTACAAAGAGCTAACACAACAAAGTAAACAATCCAGTCAAGAAATGGACAGAAGAGCTAAAAAGGCACTTCTCCAAGAGGAAATGCAAATGGGCAACAGGCATATGAAAAATGTTCAACATCACTTGTAATCAGGGAGATGCAAATCAAAACCACAATGAGAAACCACCTCTTAACGGCAATAATGGCACATATTAAAAAAACAGGAAAGAGCAAATGTTATCAAGGATGGAGAGGAAAATGCAACTCTCTCCTACATAGCTGGTAGGAATGTAAACTGGTTCAACCACTATGGAAAGTCGTGTGGAGGTTCCTCAAACTGCTAAAAATGGAACTTCTAGACCCAGCAAATCTACTCCTAGGGATCTACCTAAAGGACTCAAAATGGTGCTGAAAATAACACCTAAACCTGCTATGTTTATTGCAGAACTATTTATAATAGGTAAGATATGGAAACAACCCAAACGCCCAAAAACACATGACTGGATCAAGAAGATGTGATACATATACACAATGGAATGTTACTCAGCAATCAAAAATAATAAAATTCCTGCCCTTTGCAGCAATGTGGACAGAACTGGAAGGGATTATGCTCAGTGAAATAAGCTAGAAGGAAAAAAGAAAACTATAGGATGATTTCACTTATAGGAGGAATGTAGGGAAACCAAATAAGGGATCAGAAAGAAAAACAATTTAGTACATCAAAAACAAAATTAACAGGCAACTATTAATCAGAGACATTCTGCAGGGGTAGGGGAGGGAGAGGGATCAAAGCAGGGGAGGGCATGTGTTCTTCCATAAGGGACTATGGTGACGATGCATGGTGAATTGGTGGTGGGAATTTTGTGGGGACTACACCTGAGAGGACAAAGCATGCATTGCACAAAAAGGAAGAATGATGTTTAAAAAAAAAAAAAAAAAAAAAAGTCGAATATCATGCCATGCTTGAACCACCTCCTCCCGCACCATATACAACTACACAAATCCTATTATGCCAGGTGCCACTGGAGGCTTACCTCATCTGACTATCTGTGTTGTAAGTAGCTTCCACGCCTGGAAGAGGCACATATGGTAACATGATGTGGCTGAAGTGAAGCAAAAGTAGAACAACAATAGGTTAGGCTACTGGAATAACAGGAAAGGGTACGATGCTACTGTGGATATTAGACGCTGACCCAGACCTAGAAGACAAGAAATGTCAGTCACCTGGAAGAAAACCTCCCAGTTGTGAAATCTGTATTTAAGTGCCCATCACTGGAATGAAGGCAGGAAGGCAAGGTTACTTTCTGACTTAAATGGAAAGATGATAGAGAAATGAAAACAGTTAACAGAGAAAGGAAAGGAACAAGAATGACTTAGGTCTGATACCCCTAAGTTACTGAATATGCGTGTTAAAGATTTCTAAAACAGTAATCTAGCAATAAAAGTATCTTATACAATTCAGTCCTGTACTACTTCTATTAAAATAGAATCCTTCCATTTCTATAACCTTATAAAAAATTACGAAGAAACCTTATTTAATTTCAACAAACTGCCACATAAAACATGGCTGTTTAGATAAAAAAAAAAACACTGACAGGACCAGGGGCTTCCCTGGTGGCCTAGAGGTAATTCTCAGCATTAACACACAGCCACTGGGAAGGTCCCCAGCCAGGGAGCTGACCCACATGGTGGGTCAAGACCTCTCCTGTCTCACCTGCTGCTCCCTAAGTAGTGTATTCAGCAGAACAGATCTGCCTATTCTGAGTCCACTTTGTCTCTGGTGAATCCTCTCAACCCATACATCTCTGGTTTACAGTTCTTGTATGCATAATAAATAAAAAGTAAACTTTAAAAATTAAAAATATTGACAGGACTGGTTCCTTTATAATCAAAATTTTACTTTATTTAGATTTATATATTTATGCATACAAGAACAGAGGTGTATGGGAAGGTGAGAGGATTTACAAGAGACTAGAGTGGGGAACAGAAGATATGGAATGACTGGATGACTGGAATATGACAGGTGAGACTGGAGAGGTCTGCTGGGCCATGTGGGTCACCTCCCTGGTCCAGGATCAAACTGGCACTGCAGTGGCTGCCAATAGCTTGCTAATGCTCAGACTTAACCCTTTGCGCCACCAGGGAGAGCCTCAAATTTTTATTTTTTTGTAAATGAGAAAACAGTATTATTCACTTACAAACACATTAAGATATGATGTTGCAGAGCATTTTTTTGCCTCTGAAAGTAAAACCTGTATCCATTTCTACTAAATTTAGAATACAATTTAGATTATTAAACAGGGACTTGTATGGTGACCACACACTAATTCACCTCTGAAAGAGAAATTTGTTTAATGGTTAGGGAAACAGGGCCTCTCTTGTGGCACAAGGGAGTAAGTCTCAGCACTATGAAGCTGCCCACAGCTACTGCAGCATGGGTTCAATCCCCAGCCACTTCGGAAGGTGACCGACCACCTGGTGAGGCAGACCTGTCCTGACTCGCCCGCTGTGTCCTTCAGGAGTGTATTCCAGAACACCTGCCTGTTTTGCTCCCCACTCCATCTCTGGTAAATCCTCTCGCTACCACCCCCTCTGGCCTGTACCCCAGTTCTTGTATGAATAATCTAAAAACAAACAAAGAAACAATGGGCCTCCCTGGTGCCTAGGGGTTATATCTCAGTGCTATCACCACAATGGCCTGAGTTTCATCCCCAGCCAAGGAGCTGACCCATATGGTGCAGCAGAACTCTCCTGTCTCACCCGGTGCTCACCTCAGTGTATTTCAATAAATTCGCCTACTCTGCTCCCTACTCTTTCAGATGAATCACCATACCACCTACATCTCTGGCCTATAGCTCAGTTCTACACAAAAATAAATAAAATCTTTAAAAAAATTTATATTACCACAAAATATATAATGTGAAAATGAAATATATGAATATAAGTAATTAATTAAAAAATTTTAATTACATTCAAAAACACAATTAGATGTAGGAAGCAAGTAAGAGAGAAACTATTACAAACCAGGAAACAGAAAAGCAGGGGGAGAGTTCTGGAAGAGTAAAAAGGGCCACAGGGTCACACACTTCACTTTCACAGGCTGACATGAATAATGGCACTCTGCTAGCCTCAGGAATGAGCCGTTTAAAAGGCAGTAACATCATGTTAAGTTTTTCATAACAGACATAGACCACCCAGCATCATAAGACTGTAGAAGCACACCAAGAAAACCAGCACAAAGGTATACTAGCATGTAAAATGACCTGACTCAGACAAGTACTTATGAAAGCAATTCATCTTTCAATTTTAATCAGTCATGTTCTGGTTCTATGGTGTTTTCCTCAAATCCTTTAATTTTCTGTTAAGATGCATTTATAAATGCACTAACAGCTTTTTTTCTTAAAGATCCACTGAAATACAGTGCTGAGGGGAGCAGTAAGTGGGTCGGGATAGGGCTGCCACGCCATGTGGGTCAGCTCCCTGGCTGGGGATTGAACTTGTGTGCTGCAGTGACTGCTATAGCTTCACAGTGCTGTGCATTAACCCACTGCACTACCAGGGAGGGTCCGCACCAACAGCTTTTAAAAAAATTTTTTTTTTTAATTTTTTAAATTTTACAACAGTTTATTTTTACATCATTTTGTACATTTTTCCCCCCATCTCAATTGTAATCCCCATGGGTTTCCCATCCCCACCAACAGCTTTTTAATGACACAGAATGATTCTACATGAGAGGGCCCTGTAGAACACAAGGAACAAGGGCCCTCCCTGATGGCACAACAGATTAGTGTAGCACTGTGAAGCTATTAGCAGCCACTTCGGTATGTGTTCAATCCCTGACCAGGGAGCTGACCCACATGGCACAGCAAACTCTCCTGTTCTGCCTGCTTGCTGCTCCCCTCAGCAGTGTATTTCATCAATCTGCCTGTCTGCTCCCCACTCTGTTTCTGGTGAATCCTCTCATGGCCCCTCCACCTCTGGCCTATACCCCAGTTCAATATGCATAAATAAAAAAATCTTTACACACACACTCATACACACAAAAGAACAAGCCCTCTCCAGGCTATATTGGAATTTTAAGGCTTTTTTGCTGGTGTTGAAATTTTAAACTTTTTGCATGATAAGAGCATATTTTTATCATTTTTAAGCTGCTACTTATTCAAAGAATGTGAGAATTTATACAGTATGTCTAAAAGAGATGGTTAGGGATGTTAATTTGCAAATTATTTTTCTTATTTTAAATAACAAAGTAAAATATTTGTGAAATTATTTTTAATTATTTTTATTATTCCAACTATAGAAACTCTTTCCCAGTTCATTTTAAAATTCTATAAATTCTACAACTATAGTACGTAAATACAAATTTTTAAAAGTCTCCCCCCTAGAGAGAAATGCAGAGGAGCTTATAAACAAATTATAGTTGGTGTATGATATCTTCATCTTATATAAAATGTACTTCTTTACACACTATACATAAAGTGCTGGATGTACACTACTTTGCAACCAAGATGGTTACAAGTGTTATGTCTCTAATTATAGTCTCATAATGGTGTTTGTTCTTTGCAAGTGGGGGCAGAAGACAGAGGAGAGTCAAGAGCTGATGGTTTGTAGAGTAAAACTGGATAAGAATGGTACAAGAGAGAGTAGATTCTGCAAGAACTGGGTTTACAAATCAGAGTCACAGCTGCATTTTTCTAGCAGAGATGGGGCAAAGTAGACAGAAAATGCAGACACAAAGACGGAATAATAGCACTGCATTTTCAGTAGTACTCCTTTCCTCTCTTCAGTGGCAGGAAGCAAACATGAAACATTTGCAAAGAATAAAGGGATGGATTTTTACCTGCTTGTGGTGCCCAGAGCTGGCGGCTGCTTGCTGTGAGTGGAGTGAAGAGTGGAGATCTCGATGGGGCAGGCGGTAGGCCCATGCTGGCTCCATATGGACAGCACTCGGCCCACCGAATAGGGCAGAGAGCAGAAGACCTTGTCTGCTATAGAGGATGGAGACCTTAACCCTTTCAAGCCCTGTGTAAACTGGGTCATGAAGAGCCTCTGCATGGTAGGCATGTGACTGGAGAAGCTCCGCTTTTTTGTCCAGATTCTGTAACATCCAGGGGAACAAAGTGCTAGAAGTGTGTGAAGGCCAAGGACAGAAGAGCCTGCTCTGGTCTGGACTATGGCGGTGCCTCCATAGTCCTGAGGAGGAGCTGGAGGCTGTGGAGGAGCCTCGGCACGTGCCTGACTAAGGAGGCCACTGTCTTCCCTGAATGTGGCTGTCCCCGGGCAACTGTGGGACAAGAAGAAAGAAAAGGCCCACTTGGGAGGTTGAGATGGGTACAGGGGGGCCTCTCTTAAGGCGAGCCTTGCTGGAGCACAGTGCTCAGGAAAAGTCCTTGAGGACTCAGGCATGCACTCAGAGCCTGATTTCACATGAAAGGATACTGGGAAGATTTCAGAACCAAACAGGAATGATGACATCTTGTTGCTCAAATCTATGAAGCTCATTTTGTTGGTGTCGAGTGAATAAAGTGTCCAGGGCTTACTGTTAGGATGCTTATCCCATCCAGTAGCTGCCAAATAAGGATTGAGCTGCATTGTATTGTAAGAAAATCCATCCAGGAGCCTTTTATATCTGAGCCGCTTGTAGCTTTTAGCCACTGGAAGAAGTTCAGAGGAACACCGCCGATATCTAAGTTTCTGGGTCTTTGTGGCTGGGGCCAATTTGGAGGCAAGGATGGAGAGCTTGTTTAGTAAGGCTGATTCTTTGGTAGGCTTCCTAACATCCAGGCTCCTCAAGGGATGGCATGGAGCAGACTTCTGCTTTGGTATGTGGCTAATTATGCTCCTGGTGGGTACTGTTTCAGGTTCTAATCGTGTAGGTGCAGACACAGAATGTGAACTGAGAAATCTGTGTGCTTTTGTGGGGATGGTTTCAGAGGAACTCTTTAAAAAAGCAGAACTTTTGAGTTTATTTATTTTTCTCCCCACTCTGACTTGGTCCTGACAGGAAACTTTCTTACAGGTTCGATGGGGCTGCTTCTTTAAGGGAAGCACTCCTCTCTGATGTGGAGCGTTCCCAAAGGCACCATGTATTGTATCACACGCAATAGTGCTAGGGTCTGGCGCTTCCCGGGAGGCACCATGAAGGCAAGGACCTGTGCACAATTTACTGTCCTTTTTAAGTGGACGACTGAAATTTTCCTCCTTTGGGGCTTTCAATTTCTGAGACTGTGCAGCAATGTTGTCCTGGGCCAGCTTTGCTAAGGTAACTTCTTTCATCACGGTGGATGCATCTGAGCAGTCCTTATTTTGTACCTCATCTAGCAACCCGTCAGATGATGTGCACTGCTTCAATATCACATGTGCTCCTTTCCGCTGTACAAACTCCTCTTCCTTCTGCAACACACAGTCCAAAACGTGATGGCTTTGTTGTAGTTTGGCATCACCAAGCACCTTCTGAAACTTAAAGTGGGCCTGAGAAATCTCATTTGCATCATCACCACAATCATTGTCTCTGATAATCATGTCCTCGGATTCCTCCCCAACAGTTAAGTGACCTCGTGGTCTCCCCTGATGTTTTTTAGTTTCTTCTTTCTCTGTAGTCTCTGTTTCCATTGTTAAAGGCAAATTTTTCACACTGACCTTTATGCTTTCTCCTTCACTGGGATTATTAATATTCCTTGGTGTTTCATCCTTCTTGTCAGGAAGGGTTATGCAGTCCTTTACATTTTCACCATCTTTTGGGTTTAAATGATTTTGTAGGTTGGTTTCTTCACTATCAAAATCAGTTTCTGAATTTTCTTGAGAAGAGAGACACATAGGTATTTTCCCAATGAATTCCAAACTCCCTATGGAAACAGAATTCTCATCTTGGCATCTAGAAGATAGCAACTCTGTTGAAGAAATTTCACAGGTATTTTCCTTGACAAACTCAGAATTTATTTCTTGTCTTGATTCTTCAATCATTCCTTGTGTTTCTCTGAGAGATGCTTCTTTATCTTGATGATCATAATGAATATCATTTAAAGAAACATGTATTTTATGCAAGGTTCTTATATTTGGTTCACGATCTGCAACAGACCCCATCTCACCAGCACACGATTCTGGACACACTTCCATTTCACAGTCTTTTAATGTCCCGCAGCACACTTTTTCTTCACATGATTTTTTTATTCCAAGAGATTCCACCACAGAACAAGTTGCATCTGGGAAATCAGAACCCCGCTCAACCACTGCTACACATGCTTCCAGTCCTTCTGATTGAGACAGGGCACTCCTCGAGGGTTCACGTGAAGGCAGATCTTGCCTTGGACCACCGTCCAGTGCACTAGAGGCCACTACATCCAGCAAAGCATCTGTAGGCTTATTGCTACAGTCTGTGCAAACAATGTCTACCGGACTGGCTGTGGACTCCTCACTTTGAAAGGTGCTTTTCTTTGAACTACCACAAGACAATGAGTTGTGCTTTCCTGAACAGATTAGCAGAGGCTCTTGGTTGTGGCTTAGCTTTCTGTTAGGTTCTATGACAGTCTCTGTCTGGTCACTACCTACTATCTCGTTAGCTGGTTTACCTTCACTTCTGCATTTATCTGGCCTGTTTTGGTTATTCTGGCAGTCAAGGACTTTATCAGTCTTCTCATCAAGAGTTTCAACTGCTTGGTTCGTGTTTTTAAAACTAGATAACATAACAGTAGGAGACTGGTTCAACAATTTCTTAGGACTTGGAATGTTTGTACACTGGTTTAGTTTTTGTGTGACTGAGTCAGAGTTGTTACAGTTACAAAACACAGTCTCTCTGGTTGTATGCTGTCCCTTCCCTTCCAGCCCTTTCTCACTGGGTTGGCTGTTACTAGTGGTGTGAATTGTTTTGTTTGAAGCTTCACTTTTTAACATGCCTGCTGGTGTCTCATCTCTGATCTTATCTTCTGGAAGACTGACTTTAGTTTCACTTCTATCAAGTTCATTTTCCTTTGCTGTACTATTTACTTTATGGCTGCTACTTTCCATGGAGTCTTCTATTCCTTGGGAGTGGTGACCACTCCTGTACTTGGTTATCACAGAACTTTCACCTTTTGTAATGATTTTGCTGGATTTGATAGCTGCACAAGCAGAACACATTCTCCCTTCTGGTATATTTCTTTTTATACAGTGGCAGCTAGAGAGATCAGGAGATTGAACACTTTGACACTCCATGACTGAGATCATTTGAGGAAAGTCAGCTGCTTTTTCCTTACTTGAGAGAAGTCTGGAATGTAGATCTGCAGCTGCTAAATCAGTCATTTTGTTTTTTCTTTTGAGATTTTCTGGTTTGATGTTTAAGGTGGGATTGTTTGAAGAGGGACCATATATACTATTACCCGGTGGAGAACTGTCTTTCATTTTTGTCTTCACAGGAATGGTTTGGGTATCGGCAATGACATCGGCTCTATCCTTCAGTGGAGAGTGATGGTTCTCCTGGGAATCCTCACTTGTTGCTGGCAACTTAACTTGGTCTTGAGTATTAAGGGACACTTGTTTTAAAACACATTCACTTTTTATTTTGTTTAAAACCAGTTCATTGGTACAGGGAAGTTCACTGATCTCAGGGGCAATGCTCTGGCTCTGCTCTTCTAAATGTGGATTATCATCCTGTGAAGTCTGAACAATTTTTTCTGAATTAGGCCTGTAACCAAAATCTAGGGATAGGGGGAACTGAGCAAGATCTTTCTTGGGTTCTGGTACTTTATTTATAGGACTTATCTGGTCCCCTGACATTAAACTTAGAGAGGGTTTTCTTTCAATCAGAAATGTTAACTGGGTGTTGCCTTCCAGATATTTTTGGGTGCTGACAAAAGAGTCAGAGTCTTTACTGCAAATCTTACCACCTAATATATTTGGTTCTTTAGTGGTTGCCTGTTCTGGCTCTTCAATCTGCACCACAGAGGAAAAACTGCTCTTTTCAGGATGTCTGCCTGAATGGCTGATATTAGAAAAGGTTTCTCTACAGTCCTCATGGCTTGCAGATTTATTCTGAACATCCGACATAATTTTTGAATCTTTTTTTTTAAACATTATTTCTGTGGCTTTGGTAAAAGAATTGGGGGTTAAAAAACTAGAGTTGTTTATATGGCCACTGCCTTGAATGCCATAGTTATTACGGACAGTTTCTTTTGGGATGTCAACAGTCTCTTTTTCACCAGAACAAGGGCCATTAGCATCCACTTCGGGTTGCCTGGCATTAACAAGAAACAGTTCCCCTCTTTCAGTCTTGGATTTAAAAAACTGTCCTTTATTTTCGTCTTGAGAAATCAGGTTCTTACTTTGACTGTCCCCTTCAAAATCAGAATTGTCTGTCTTTTCAGCAGAGTCCTTAAGCAAAGCATCATCTTCAAAACCACATTTTTTAAAAGATGTCGTTCTAGATTTGGGACCAGACAAATCTGAAGTAAAATATGAAGCTTCAGAATTTTCTCCAGTGGGTTCTATAACTATACTTCTTGTGCCTTTGGGACTGCCACATGCAGAATTGTATTTTTCATTATGATGGCCAAGAATCTGTTGGTGATTGTCATCTGCTTCACAGACAGGGTTTAATTTACACAACTCTTCCTTCCCATAGTCCACTTTGGAAATGGAACTGCTCCCTGGTAATGACAACCAAGAAGGACAACTTTTTAATTCTTCACATCCTTTTTCTTTAGGAGTTGCTTCTGTTAATCCAGGGTCCACAAACGTTACAGGCTCTAGGGATACTAGTGTACTGGTTTCTGAAACCTTACCACTGGTCATTTCTGGGTAGTTGCTGCACCCAGCTGAGAGACCTTTACTCACATTGCCATTCTCACGTCCTTCATTATTATCCGTGTTAGTCCCATGGACCTTCATACCTTGTACTTCTGCAGTAGATTTTAGCAGAGTTTCAGTTGTAATCTGTACATTTCCTTCTGCACAAGAGAAATAAATCCAAATCATTATGCAATCATGAAAAAATAATTTACAATACTTTGAAAAATTCAATCATGCAAACAATGGCAACAAAAAAAGACCTAACTCAAAAACAGAATTGTGAAGTTAGTGTATACCACCACTGACTTTGTTATTCTCTGTAAAATATAACAAAGGGGGCCTCCCTGGTGGCACAAGGGGTGAAATCTCAGCACCTTCCAGCTATCACCAATCACTAAAACTTGAGTTTGGTCCCCGGCCAGAGAGTTAACACACATGGCATAGCAGACCTCTCCTGTTTTGCCTGTTACTCCCCTCAGCAGTGTGTTTCAGTAGATCTGCCTGTTCTGCTCCCCCCCGTCTCTACTCCCCTCAGCAGTGTGTTTCAGTAGATCTGCCTGTTCTGCTCCCCCCGTCTCTTGTGAATCCTCTCATCCCCCAACATCTCTGGCCTGTACCCCAATTCTGTATGTATAAATAATCGTTAGCAAACAGGCATACACACATATTCTTTCTCTCACTCACACAACATACACACACACACACACACACACACACAAAACAAAGGGCAAAAATATACCAGGTAGAAACAAGTAATCTTGAACAAATACTTTTTTCTAAATGTTACTTAGTTATATATACTGATTTAACTGGATAGTTGAAGACAAAACATTCCTAGTTCATGTCTTAGGAAGCCTCTATTCTGAGACATTGATAAATTCATAATATAATAGTTAGTACTACTTGATACATAATTACAAAATAAGAGGTAAAATTACCTTTGAAAAAGAACAGTTACACAAAAAACTTAATTTGTAAACTGAATTATTAGCCATGAACTCAATTATAGTGATAATTACTTCTCTACAAAGCTTGCTCATGTGTTGGTAACTTACTGAAGTACTGATAGGTACCTAGGTGCCTCGTATACTCTTTTCCACTTCTGAATAAATCTGAAAATTTCCATCACGAGACATTACAAAGCAAGCAAAACAATTTCAACCCACCATTTTAGAAAACAAACCCAAAGCTAAACACACACACACACGCATCCATACGTATTCATATATGGAATGAGATACCTGCAAACAGATAAAGCAAGTCAAAGTAAAGATCTACTAATACCTACTAAAATATAACGTATAGAAAAGCACTTAATAAATACTTGTGAAGTTAATAAACATAGTTAGTTCAAACAACAATTACCATTACTAATGTCCCCTTACCACCTATTTGTTTCTCAATATACACTAAAAGCAGTGACTTTGAAGCCAGGCCAGTTTGGTTCTAGGATGTTACTTACCTCTCAAGAGCCTCAACTTCCTCCTCTGTGAAAAAGGGGAGAAGTACACTTACCTCAGTGTTATTCTGAGGGTTAAATTAAACAATACATGTAAAACACCACCTGGTATAATGCCTGCCATTAAAGGAAAAGTGTTTCCTTTGCTCTGTTTTGATTCTTATTTTATTGGACCTGAGAATAGTTAAAATGATAAACTTAAAAACTAGGCTCTAGGACACAGAGTTTGAAATATTTGGAGTAAGCAAACATTAGATGGCTATACTGGATTGCATAAATTTACAGAGGTAACACTGAGGCAGTCACAAAACACTAATGCCACACTCAATATGTTTATGGAAGGAGCCCTCATAACACCTTAGGCAGTTCTGTTGTATTATGAGTTTCTAAGCACAATACTCCAAACAGCTGTATTTTACCTCTCTGAACTCTACAGCATTCATCAAACTATTGATGTCTACTCTGGGTCTTCCCTCTCTGTTCCAGCACTATCCTACTTGTATACCTGACCTCATCTTATCTGCTTAGAAAAACTCACACTCTTCATCCATCCCCAAACTATTTACTGTGCAAGGCACTAAGGCAAGATTCTCCCTCAGAGTCCTTTTTTGGTAAAAGAATGCCTGGCTTCCATTTTGTCAAGAATCTTGGAGAGAAGGCAAAGTAGTAGTCATTTCCAAGGCAGTATTGCAGAGTAAAAGCAGGAAAGGAGGGCACGGACAGGTACAACCTAAAAGCAAAATGATATTCTGCCCACCTCTCTGACAATTATTTTTGAAATCTCAACTTTATTTAAAGGAGAGGGCCCTACCTGGGGGTGCATCGTGTTAAAGAGCAACACTACAGCACAAGTTCGATCCCCAGCTAAGAAGCTGACCCACTTGGCATGGCAGACATCTGCTGACCAACCTGCTGCTCCCCTCAGGAGTGTATTTCAGTAAATCTGTCTGTCCTGCTCCCCACCTTGTATCTGGTGAATCATCCCATTCCCTGAAACTCTGGCCTGTACCCCAGTTCTTGTGTGCATAAATAATTGGGAAAAAAAAAAAAAACACTAAAGGAGAGGTTGAGGCAATTTTATATTCACTCTTTAAAATGTCTCTGGTATATAGCTGTTCATTATTATTATTTTCTCTCCTGGTCCTTTATGCTCCTGCTATGAGTGAAACCATCTGGGATTTTTCCTTTTCTTTCTGGCTTATTTCACTAAGCATGATCTTTTCCAGCTCCATCCATGTTGCTGCAAAAGGCATGTGTTTTTTTTTTTTTTGGTTGCTGTCACTCTTTTTTTTT